GCAATGGTTCATCCCATAGTATAGTTCCTCTTAATCATATCTATTGGTGTTAAATTTCCATAGATTTTCTATGCGCATACCTTATGATATACTTATTTTCTTCTCTTCATGGTTTATGTTAATTTCTAATATCATTAGTCTTTTAAAAAATCACATTTATTCTATAAATATGTATAAAGTGTGTGCTATGTATAGGTTCTGTTTTAAGTGCAATGATATAGTTATTTTCAAAACAGATTTCCTGACTTCCTGGAATTTTCATTTTTATGAGAGAAATAAGATAACAAGTCAATATGTAGAATAATAGAAGTTAAGTTTTATAGAGCAAATTAAAGCAGAGTGAGTGTTTAAAAGGGTAAGCTAGTAAGAGAAGGCCAGGCAGGAAGACAGGCTGGGGTGAGCAGGCCCTCCACTAAAAAGCTCATTGATGCCCAAACCGACTTGGCTCAGTGGATAGAGCGTCGGCCGGTAAGTCAGGGAGTAAGACTGATAGATATCTAGGGAAGAGACTTTCAAGAAAAAGGAACAAAAAGTGAAAAGTCTCCAGAGATTAGAGCATGCTGAATGTGCTCCAAGAGCAGATTTTCTCTAAAGTTCTTAAGATGATTGTTTAAATAAAAAACATGAATGCACTTAAGCTATTAGCTGAATAATAAACAGTATTGATGCCACAGGGATATTTCAGAATTTTGAAAATGGAGAGAAGTTTGGGAAACACAGTTTTGTTTGGAAGGAATCCTGCCCCACAGTCATCAGCTTTTGTCTTTATTATTAGCCAATATCTTTTAGGTCATTTAACTTCTCTATGTCTTCAGTAGGAAAAGGCTGTTCTTTATCAAATGTCCTTAGGTTTGTACATGGGAAAGTATACAATATTTTTTCTCCCAGAAGACAACATGCCTCAATGGTCATTTTATAACTATAAACTTCGGCAAGTGGCGACACATGAGAACTTTGTCTATTTTGTATACTTACCTGGTGCGCAGAGGAGTGTGTTGAAAGTTTCCTCCTTTTCTATTCCTTCAGGCTTTATATTGAAAGAAAGAATAAAACATAAAGTGACACTGGATGTAGAAGAGAAAAATCAGTCACTTGTATGTAGAGTAAAATATTGAGCTGTGGATACATCTGTATTTGGGGAATTAAATGTCACCATCACATACATAGTAGATAATAAGGTCTGTGAGAAAGTACCCCTGCCTACCTCAACCAATAAGGGCCTGATTACAGTATCCTTTTGTCCAAACATTGGGACTTTAGGTACCTCAATCGCCACACAATTCCTGAGACTGTAGGACTTCTGCAGTCACTGTGAAATTCACCTTCTCTGAGGAATAAGATTCCTAAGGAGTTAATACAGTGATTCTATATTGAATGGTCTTTTCTCTTTTTTAATTTCCTCAATATATTTAATGGTTTTCTTTCCATCGATCATTGTTAGAGGAGAAAAAAACCATATATTTGGGTCAGAGAGGAAAGCAAATCATTATCACTCACCCAGTGACTTGAGGGTCACAGCCCAGGACACAGTTTTCTGCCCATTTCCACTGATACAGTGAGATTCTTCATTCTTTTCTACTGGGACAGCCAAGAAGGCAGGAGAGTCCTCTAGCTCCATGCCAACCTGTCCCCCATACCCACCCACAAGTTTGAGAAAGAACACACGCAGAGGGTCAGTAACAGGGGACTGGAACTTCAAGGGACAATGCATACTAATGGAGAGGCTTTGAGAAATTGTTCAACCAGGGTACAGCCTGTCAAACATTTTGTAGTTCAAATGTTTGCAATAAAGGAATTGAAAAACTGACATGAATTAGGATAAATGCCCACACAAGGAAGAAATATTTTCCTCAGAGTGAAAACATGAAAGAGTCAGATGGAAATGATATCTGAAATGAAGACTACACAGATAATATAGAGTCCCAAATGAGTACAACCTTACCACCTTGGACCTGTCAGGTAGTTTGGCTCTGAGAACCCATTCCATTCCAAAATTAAGTTGCATCATATGCAATTATGATTTACAAGAATTCCTAGGACACCCAGGTAGTGAATGGTGATTGTGTCCCTTCCTTCTACTTTTGCTCACCTGTAGAGAAGTGCCCTTTCCCGAATGCAGTGGGACAAATAGTTGAACACAGTGGCTTTGAGTGTAAAGGGTTCTCCTCGCACCAAAGAGTAAGGGAGCGTGAGTTCTAGGAAGAAGGGCTGGAAGACTTGAAGAGAGATGATGGGAGAGAGGCCAAGTCCTGTTGTTCCAGACAAGCAGAGTGCGCTGGCCTTCCACTTTGTGATTGTATCAGGGACCTTGATTGCCAACTCACTGCTACCTGATAAACTAATGAAAAGAAAAAGAGGAAGAGAGTGAGTGAGTCTCTTTCCCCCCCTCCCCACTCCCTCCAGCTCTTTTTCTGTTTTTGGCATTGATCATAGCTAATCCTACAGCATGGTAACTTAGTAGCCTGGTGTGGTAAATGTTAAACTTTATATAAGATTTTTCACTATTAATGAAGTCTCTGAAAGTTTTCCTTTTCCTTTTAGGGGAGAGAGTAGCTTCCTGTTTTCTATTATTTTAAGTACCTCACGACTAAATTAGAAAAAAAGTTGCATTGTTTCACTATAAGATACATTAACTATGAATCGAATTATTTACCATAAAGGAGTGGAACAGAACTGAGAGGATCACGATCACAGGATAACAGCAGAATCATAGAGGAGAATGCTCCTAAACTAAGTTCCAGGCAACACACAACTTACTCGAGTAGCACCAGGTCCCAGATCCAGGGCTCAGGGAAATACTTCCGGACTGTCTCTTTCACTCCCTCAGCTGGATGGTGGTTTCTCCTCTCTTGGTGAAGTGCAGGTCTTTCTTCTCTAAGTTCTTCCCCTATGAAAAGACAACATTGAGAGCCCAATGTGAACCTCATTTTTATCATTAACTTTTTATAGTTGCCTTATTTATCCAGAAAAATAAGGTCAGTTGCTCAGTGAATGTTCATTATTGGAACAACTAAACCTTACCAGCTTGTTACTTATATAGGAAGGCTAATTCTTTTACTTCTTCAATCTAGAGGTAAATACATTTTTCTCTAGAAATAAAAACAAACATAGCCCTTCTTAAGCTGATCATTGAAGTGGTGGAGAGAAGAATAAAAAACAATTAAATATACAAAGTAGTGTTTTTATACTAAAATGGTGATCACGTGTTTTCCTTTTGTGGTTAGACTCAAACTAGAGAAATGGATAGTAGCTACTCCAAGAGGATTTTAGGGATGATTTTTTAGTTAACAGTGAATGAGATATGGAGAAATTAAAAATAGGATATAGAACAGTATGTATTTTGTCAACAGAGACTCAATAAAGGACAGAAAATGAGCATTATATTGACCAGAAAAGACTTTTCCAAAGCAGACTTTAAGGTGATTATTGAAGGATGAGAAACAGGAGAATGGAGAAGGCATTTCAAGGAAATGTCTATCCAAGTATGCACACAAAGATTGGAAGGGTTGCTCCAAAACACTTACCCCTCTGGAATAGCATGTCTATTTGGGGGGGGGGGCGTGTTTAACTTAGCTGAGTAAACAGTAGATATAATCTACACTAATAAAAGAGAAACATGGATTCTTATTTCTGAATTTTGTCTGCTGTATGCTGATGCCTTTTAAATTATTTTTTAATCCAGGAAACTAAGTACTTTAGCCTTGGATGTTCTCTTTCCTTTCTCCCCTCAGAAAACAAATATAACATATATACATATATACATATATACATATATACACATATATGTATATATATACACACACACACATACATACACACACAAACATACATACCTCATAGCTTTATCGCACAGAGTAATTTTTTTCATTTGAAATTTTAGGGTTGGAGGTTTTTTTCCATAGTTTTAGTAAATATTGCTTTGTTTATGTTTTATTGGAAAATATCCTTTTCCCTGAATAGTTCTGCTCAATTGATCCTTTTTGTAATATATTTTTCCTCTTTTCTTTCTCCATTTTTTTTAACTATCTTGAATCTCTGCATCCAAAACATACATGCAGATGCCCACAGTAACCTGATTCCTAGAGCCCATCTGTTCCCAACTTCCTCTTTCTTCAACAGTAGCCACAGTTAAACACTACTTGCTGTCCTATCTCAGAGTACATGGGACACTGTGGGACTCTGAGCACAGCCAATGCTGGTAGCAATATGAATAATAGGAAGAAAGAAATAAGAAATAAATGTTTAGGTGAGAAAGGTGAAGTGATTACGCAAAAAAAAAAGAAAGAAAGAAAGAGAAAGAAAGAAAGAAAGAAAGAAAGAAAGAAGACTCATGGATACAGAAAAGAGTATGGCAATTGCCAGAGGGAAGGGAGGATGGCGGCAGCTGGAAGAAGGTAAAAGAAGGGATAAATGGTGATGGAGGGAGACTTGCCTTGGGCTGGTAAACATACAGTACAATCTACAGATGATATATTGTAGAATTGAATACCTGAAATCTATGTAATTTTATTAATCAATGTCTCTCCAATAAATTCAATTGAAAAAAAATCAACCAACCAAACAAAAAAGAAATAAATGTTTAAAGATGAAGCTGAACTAATCGGCCTAGAGTCCTTTCAATCCTTCCACCACCAATGGATTTATGACTCTGAAGGTTCCAGAAGGGGGACATTTAATTTACTCTCTGCTAGGTTGCAGACCTCTATTGAAGATGACATACGTTTTCTTCAAGGTATAATGAGAATGCTTTTTCCTTTGTGATAGTGACCAGATTTAGTCTTACAACCTGGATAAACTCCCTTTTCGTAACTCTACCTAGTTATAGTCAATCTCAAAGATACACATTTTATCTGACACACCTAAAGCATGCTGACATCTCTATCCCAACTATTGTAACTATTTTCTTCATGAAAATCTACTTTCAGTTTCCTGAAATTGTACTGCTCCGAGGGAGATGACTCAAGTTTTGCACTTTGGGTATTCAGTCATTCAACATGTATTTATTGTGCAAATGACAACTATAATGGGTGCCAACGAGGTACTCACCAGGGGTGTCAGAGGCACTACAGAAAATATTTTTTCACATATTGTCATTTCTCAGATTCACTGAGAGTGGCATATGGCAGTGGTAACTAGCTTTGGGGCCAACTTAATTAAAGTTGTGGTCCCTAAAAGTCTACCACTTGCCAGAGAAATTCATGATTAAATATCTGTATGTATACAAAGTTAGCTATGTGTCTGAGGTTTTCATGTTTTTCTGTTAATCATAGCTTTGTTTGGGGACAGGAGCAAGGGCAGGATCATATTCTAGAGCTTAGAAGTCCATTTGTTCTCCATTTACAAGGACTTAGAGGTCAATTCTGTTTATGCTTTTAGGAAGATACTGTAAGCGTCATCACCATCCAGGATCTGCTTTGGTGTGTAAAGGATTCCGTTGTGAGTGATGTCTTCTGCAATTATGCATCCTTCAATGTCTTTATTCATGAAGCTACCATGTTGAACATTAAAGTCTTACTTTACTGGTAACAAATTATAGACTTGCAAAATTGAGAAAAGAAAGGAAAAACTGTTGGTTTTTGTTTTCTTTCTTTTTAAGTGTGATAATGTTCAATCTGGAATTTAAAATCTCATAGTGTTTTAACACTCCCATGTCAACATTATAAAGACCAATACAGGGAATCATAGAGAGGAATTAAAGGTTAGGGATCCTAAGCCTCTTGTTATAAATAAGAAATTAACATAGAAAGAAATCAAACTAATTGACCAAAGTCTCAGGTCCCATTTTGGTTCTGTAACAATAAAAGCCAAGTCACCTGTCTCCCAGCCCAAATGCCTACTTTTAAGAGGAAGCAGAAAATGTGGAGAGTATAAAGAAGTGTAACAAGAGAACAAAAGCCCTCTATAACCCCATCACTGAGGAATGACCTCTGTAAATACTGGATTTACGTCCTTTTTCTTTTTTATACGATTAAGTTCTTACCAAGATAAAACCACTTTTTACTCTACTAGTTTAAGACCACGTTTAGCTTGAGAAAAAATTAGGTGCCGTTTTTTTTTCTCCAGAATACATCAATTCCAGCTCGGCTTTTGCCCCAAATAAAGCCACCTGCACAGTCACATAGTGTTGGGAACATTAAAGACACTCTGGACTCCATGCAGACCTCCTAATCCGGTTGCTGTCATTTCTCATCTGAACTACAATTACCTCATAACTGTCTCCATTCTTTTATTCTTGTTCTCATACTTTCAGCAGCAAACAGGTTCTTCTTAATAGATAAATCTAAACTGTCACTTCTCCTGCTTAAAACTTCTCAGTAATTTACTATTGCACTTATTGTCAACTCCAAATTCCCCTCCAAGTTAACAGAGTTGATTTTCCATTCCACCTATGGCCTCTACCATCCTCTTCTGTCACAACTACATATTTATCCTTTTATTTTTTTGTGCGTGTTAATCCTCACCCAAGGATATTTTTCCATTGATTTTTAGGGAGAATGCCAAATGATTTTTAGAAACACATTGATTGGTTGCCTCCTGCACCCACCTGACCAGGGCTCAGACTGGGGAGGCACCTGCAACCAAGGTACATGCCCTTGATTGGAATTGGACCCAGGACCCTTTGGTTTGCAGGCTGACACTCTATCCACTGAGCCAAACTGGCTAGGGCAACTTATCTTTTTTTTAAAACACTCCAGACTGACACTTATTCTGACCTCACACCTTCAGGCATACTGCTTTCATTCATTGTAATGCCTGCCCCTGTCCCTCCATTGTCTGGCACTTTAAGAAGATATCTCTAATCACTCTATTAAAAATTGTTCAAAACCCACCCCCTCTCCCCGCCCCGAAAAAAATTGTTCAACCCTTTTTTTCTTTATCTCAACTTCCTGGTTATTTATTTGTTTGTATTAATACATCACAAGATTATAAGTCTAAGATGGTCCCAAACCACATCTTATTGTTCACCATTACAACTATTTCTAGAGCAGTAGCCATCCTAGAGTCAAGATGTCACCAATATTTGTTAAATAAACAAATGGACCATAAAGGCTGTAAACTATAAGACCCTTTTGAAAATACTTTATTATGACAGACATCTTTAAAGACAAGTTGGAATGGAAACTCTCTTTTGTCTATAATTAAAACCAGTGAGTAAGAGCCTGGATTTTAAAGAAAGCTTAAAAATCTGGCATTTCGCATACTACCTTGAAATGTAGTGCAACTGAAGTGGCGCTGACTGATTCTGGTTCAAATCCCACCTTTAAAATATATTTTTGGCATATTCTTTCTATAGTTGCTTAGTCTATTTTAGCTGTGCTTTTTCATTCATAAAATTGAGGTTATAAAACCTACCTTAAGGAATTATTATTCAATTATTCATTTGTTAAAATGTGTTAAGCATCTTTTTAAAAAAAATATATTTTAGTTGATTTCAGAGGGGAAGGGAGAGGGAAAGAGAGAGATAGAAATGTCAATGATGAGAGCATTGATTGGCTGCCTTCAGCATGATCAGAGATCAAGTCCACAACCCTGGCATATGCCATGACTGGGAATCAAACTGGGAATAGTACTGTGACCTCCCTGGTTCATAGGCAGATGCTCAACTATTGAGCCATTGAGGCCAGGTGAGCATCTTTTATATATAAGGCATTGTGCTGGGCACAGGGATTGTTGTGGTGAGCAAGATTGTTCCTTCACTGAGAATCTACACTAATAAAAGAGAAACATGGTAATTGGCATACAACCGCTACCCTTCCCATTGGCTAATCAGCGAGATATGCAAATTAACTGACAGCCAAGAGGCGGCCGGCAGCCAGGCAGCTTAAAACTAACATGAGGCTTGCTTGCCTCAGTGACGGAGGAAACCAACGTTCCCCGCCTACCGCTGCAGGCCTCTGAGCCTGCAGTTTGAAACATTTTAACAAATACCACCGGACTTCAGCCAGCAGATTCGCAACATTGTAAGCAAAGGCCAGAAACCTACTTTCAGCAGCGGAGGCCTAAGAGCTGGAGCCAAGCCTCAAAGC